ATCATGCTTGAGTGGAGAGCCAACCAATCTGAGCAGCATACGCAATACCGCGTCTGCTCTTGATTCAGATCTTGCCTCAAGCCTGACCAACAAGTCTGTTGCAGACATTCCTGGAGACATCCCTTTTGGTCATTCTGCTTTCAGCGAACTTGATCTGACCATCAAAGGACAACCAAGAAGCAGACCAAAACGCCCAAAGGTTGATCGTGACACGAGTTTCAAATCAATGCCCAAAGTATTCCAGAAGGTAGTGCAAGAGAGCAAGAAAATTATCCAGGAGATGAGCGAACCCCCGCGACACCGGGTTGCAAATAATCCCCCAAGCATTGAAAAGTGGTTGAACAATACTGTTGACCCATTCGTGGATCCGAAGCCCAAGGCAGAACAAGGCTCGCCGTCCGCAGAGCCAGTAGATGACAAGCCGGACAAGATCACACAAGACACAACCAAGTCGCATCGTCGCCGGAGCTCGCACGGTATCAGATCATCTCGGAAGTCGTCATCAAGCCTTGCAGACACGGTAGAGAAACAAGCGCCGCACGAGCCGGCTGTGTTTGAGACTGAGAACGCATCGACCCCTGATTCTGCAAGGCATACCGCCACCACGCCAACCTCAAATGGACTTAAAAGAAGCAGAGCTACAAGAAACAGTTCGTCACCTACCAAGGGCAGTAACGGTAAGCGGCAAATACTCGGTGTTCTCAAAGAAGCTTTCCAAGGCGAGTCAAAGGCTCTTCCAATTCAGCTCAAGGGCTATCAGGGGAGCGAGCAACGGATATTCACGAATATTGAGGATGTTCCTGCGCCACTGCGGCTCAGAAAATCGCTGCCACCTTCATTCGCGACTGATGCAACAAATCTGGGCCAGCGCAGTGGAGATGACGAACAGCCAGGCTCCAGATTGACGGCTCCACGATTCCGACCTCCGACTAGAGGCGATCATGAACTGTCGACCATTGTGTCGGGAGAGAGCTCCGGAAGTGCCGATTCCGATTTAAGCTCAGATGTGACTCAGTCGACAGTGACTCAATCGACAGTTCTTACGAATGATGGCGAGGTTGTCAAGCCACGCACGACTCAAACCTCCGGTCTAAAGAGAAGGCTCACCAAACACTCTGACCTAGTTTCAGTATTGTCTCTTCCTGATGATTCTTCTATCCCGAATACAATCAAAGATCGTCGTTCCAGACCAAGTCTACGCAAGCACAGAAGCGGGTCCGGCGATGTCACGGCGCAAGAACTCTTACGAGAGTTTATTGATGATGAAAACATGTATAGTCGGGAACTGAAAACACTTGTCGATGGTGTTGTACCTGTGCTTCTATCGCATGTGGTCAACGGGACTAATGACACTGACCTTTTTGGGCCGTCTTTGTCGGCGTCGGGGAAGATTCCAGACAATGTGACAAAGTCAGTTGTGAATATGGGCGTGACTCTTGAAAAGCTCCGAAGTGCGCACAAGAAAGCTCCCACGTCCGACATTCGCAAAATAGCCAATTGGGCGCATGGCGTCGTGCCAATGTATAACAACTATCTCAGCGCCTGGCGACTTGGCTTCGATGACATCGTCGTCAACTTGGCACCGGCTGCAGATGGTTCAATTGACGATGAATCTCTTTTGGCTGCATTGCCAAGAAACGAAAAGGGAGACGTTGTAAACGACAACGGAGAGCAGGTGGCAGTGGCGTATCTTCTTAAGCGACCCTTGATCCGTATCAAACAACTTGCGAAACTAGTCAAATGTGTCGACACGCTTGTGTCTTCTACCGACACGAGAGAACTATTACAAGAATTTGAAAATCTACAGAAAAAAACTCGGCGGCGTTTCAAGGAAGAGGTCGCGCGGGTTGTTGACGAAGAAGCAATCTGTACCGACAAGTCAAGATGCCGACATCTGGAGACGCTGGATTCATTGCCAGCCGTGACAATCGACCCGACTCGGCAAGTCAGTGCCAAGGATGTCTTTTCCCTCAGCCTATCACACTCCAACAGTCAACGTCTCGATTGTCAAGTAGAGCTGGTGTATAGAGATAACCAGAAAGACCCCAGCGATGAAGGCGACTTGCTGATACGGGAAGTCGGAGAGGGTCGCCGCTCATATCTCCTGTTCCCGCCCATCGCCATGTCAGAAATATCCGCTCGCACAGGCGATAGCCATTTTGAGATGGTGATCATGATCCGTGGCGCGAGTGTGGACAGCAGCATGTGGCGCGAGTTTATTATTCTAAAGGCTGACAGCGAAGATCAAATCCTCGACTGGCTCGATATCATCCCATTACTGCCTGTTCCACCATTGATTATTGGTCCCGAGACTTCTGGCAGGTTCCCCAAATTGATTACGCCTTCCACGCCCCCCCAACGTCGTAAACTCTCGATAGCTACTCCCTCCCCAGGAAATTCAACCGAAAGGTCCCCTCGATCGCCGATTGCAAAGGATATATGTACGTCAACGCCGCCTTCTGTTGCAGCCAAGAAGGCGGCACCTGCAAGATACCGCCAACGCACTCCTACGATGGAGCGGATTTTATCACCTTTTCCTCCCTCGGAGGAACCTCATCTTGTCGATCCGGACAAGACACCGACCAAGAGATCCCATCAGGAAGGTCGTGTGAAGGAAGACAGAGGCCGGCCGCTCCATGAAAGCATAGAATCCGATTTCTCGCAATTCCCAGAGGAGAGTCAAGAGCACCAGCAACCAACACCAACAACAGTCTCTAACCGTGAAGATGGAGCTCCGCCGCCACCAATTCACAGAACTCTCAGCACGAGTCCTGCGACCGAGAGGGGGCCGAGCACGAAATCAACACCACCTCTGCCTCCTTTGACGGACAATCACAGCAACGACAAGCTTAAGCGCCGCGGTTCGTCGCCGCTCAAGCATGAATATTTACCGTCAGATCAGTCTTCAGTATCTGAGGAGTACTCTACAGAAGAATCGGATATCGAAAGCTCAGACGATGAACTCGAGAGCATAGACATACCAGAGACTGAGCTAGGCATCAGCATCAAGAGCGAAGCACAACCCTCTCCATACCCTGCCGCTCTCGGATTCATGATGGGATCCGAATGCAGCCTGACCCCTTCCAATTCCGCCTCCCAAGTGGGGATCCCGGGGTTCAAGAATGCCATCGGTGACCAAGTCACATACTTTATGGCTCGAGTTTCTAAATGGTCTGACAAAGGAGCATGGAAGGACATTTTGAATGACCCGTGCGCTATCATAGTTCGGAATGGCCTCATCGAGGCCTTTGCCTTGCGCACTACTGGGATTGTGCCAAATGACACTGAACCACCCCTTCTCGCCCTCGATCTCACTCCGCTGGTTCTTATCAGGCAAAGCACGGCTGTTGATTTGGAAATTCGATCCTCGGTTCAGCCTCACTCCAAACTCTACAAGTCGCATTATGCGGGCAATTTCCGTTTCCGTTGTTTTGTGGCCCCTGAGTGTTATAATCTATACATGGCGGTCCACCAAGCGCGCCTGAATAACGAAAGATTTATTCAGCTGGCGAATCAAGCCAGATTTAAAAGCTTTGGCGAACGGGAGAGGTTTGTTGAGAATGGAGACGGAGACGGAGATGGCGACAGAGACCGAAAAGGCGATGGCAACAGCGGCAGCCATCGGCGACGCACTTGGTTTAGCAGGAAGAATAGTTACCGAAGCTCGGTTCGCGCCCCATCGCAGTCCCAAGATGGGGGCAGCACCACGCCATCATCTACACCGTCGGCATCGAGCTTCCTCAAAAGACTCATGGGGAATGGCAACTTATCGTTCAATATCGCCAGGTCGTCTATTGACAGACGATCACGGGCCAGCAGCGGTGCCGGGAACAGTCTTTACACATCAAGGTCATCGTCGAGTAGCGGGACTCCTCCACGCTCTCCCTCAGTAAGTGTTGAGAACAGCGGCCATCACCCGACCAATATCGGCGCCGACAGCATCCGGATCCGACTTCACCTGCTTCTGCCACCAGCCAAGTGGGAGGACTACGGAAATTGCAGCTTACACATCACGCGACCACCACCAGGATGGCGCCAAGCGCTTCGAGCTGATCACGGTCTCGAAAAGCGCATCACAGTCACGACGGTGCCACGAAAGGAGACTGAGGAGACTAAAGTTGTACTCGACGCAGTTCTGGGAAGTGGATGTTTCTCAGCCATGGGCAGTCGAGGCATCGTGTGCGGCGTCTGGGAGGAGGTAAAAAACGGGGACGGTGTCGTGGGCATGGTTCCCGAGACGGGTGCAACAGGTGGAAATATCAAGAAGTGGTGTTTCCAGTTTGCCAACGCCAACGAGGCCAACGGAGTCCTACGGCTTGTACATCAAGAAGTGTTGCGAGTGTAATGGTATCGCCGGGGGTTTGTATTATTGTAATGACTGGGGGCTTTTGGCGCGCACTTTTCTGTTTCTTGTTTGCTTTTTGTTTTTTTGGTGATTTCTTCTTTTTCTACAATATCCAATTCTTCAAGATATGGGCATCGAAGCGGTTTTGCATTTATTTGATATCCAATCACAGTCTGCGTGTTTTTTTTTAGCATTGTTGTCTTTTGTGGAAAGCAAATACAATTGTGGGTGAATATGTTTCCATGATAAGCCAAGACATGTATTTCAACAGGGAGCACTGCAGCAGTGGTGTATCTCGTGTGTTTTTTTGCCTAGTACGTTTCCTGAATCTGGGCTATGCTGTAGATAAATATAACTGAGTTCACGAAGCGTACGTAATGTATGTGCGGTCATGAATAGGGAGGTAGGCAGACTTTGGTTTTGTGTTAGAATGCATATGATGAGGAACTCTGCGATTGTGGGGACGGTGGAGTCTGAGCTGGGAGAGACTGAGTGAGGAAGCTAGCAAGCTGGACGAAAGAAGGACAACGAATACAGCACGATGGATCTACGTTGCGAAGTGCATCTGCGTACCCAAGACAAAAAAGGAAGCAAGAAGATGAGAAGGAGGGAAAGTACGAAAATGAGCAAAAAACCATGAAACGAAAAAAAAATGTGTCCTCAGCGAGAGTCGAACTCGCGACCTTCGGATGACTCCAATGTTTAATTGGATCACACTTGGTAGTATGAGACCGACGCTTTAACCAACTAAGCCATGAAGACCATTTTGTGTTGTTGAGCAGTACCTTGTTATTGTACACTATGTTGTCTATACAACTGCGATAGGACGTCGTCCATATCGGGGAAGTTCACACAAACAACAAAGTGCGGGTGTAGCTGTCACGGCACAAGTCTGAAGCGCCGCCTAGTGCCCTCCGCCATGTGCGGGCGAAATTCTGGGAATTCGTGCGGTTAATGTATGCATGTTGTATACCTGCCTGATGAAGTGCCGTCAGTGGGACAAGAAACCCCGGTCTCTCAGGTGTACTGCTGCGCAAGGTTGTCCGGCAGAAATGATTTGCGCGGCGCTGCTTCACGACAGACAAAGGCTGGCCGGTTATTCTGTCCTACACGACAAAGGGCATTGGAATGTTGGAGTCCAATGACATTTGAATCGTCTTTTTGTTTGTTCTATTCTATTTTATATTCTATTAAACAATAAATGTGTATATATGTATATGTATTTTTTATATATATGAAGAAAAAAAAAAACTCATAATTCCAAATATTGATGATTTCTCAGTGCACAGACTAGCTTCTGTTGCTCAGCTCAATCAAGTACTTCCCTCGCTCCCTGTTCGCATACAAATACGGCCTGGACCCCTGGGGAAAGGTGCCGTCGGCGGCCCACAAGTCCAATAAATGCTGCATGGGCTCCAGCTCCTCCAAGGCCAGCATATCCAACGTGGTGGCGGTGAGGATGAAGTGGCTGAAGCAGCTGTTGAGTTGCTTCTCCAGGTTGAGATGGTAAAAGGGGTGGATGAAATGATGCCAGTAGAGATGGGCGTACACGCGGAAGATTTGTCGAAAGATGATTTGCGCCGTCTCGGCAAATTGCTTGGGAAAACCGCTTCTGCTGCCGAGCCACTCTTCGGTGACGGGCGGTTGACGTGGCGTGGAATGCACCTCTGCGGACGGGGAGCGAGAGGAGGCGGCGGAGGAGGAGGAGGAGGAGGATGAAAATGAAGAAGACGGCGGCGAAGACGATGACGCTGATGCTGACGGCGGGAGGCAGTAGTCTGGGTGATGGCAAAAGGAGGCTTTCTCGGGATTGGTGGGGAAAAGGGTTGCGTCGTCAATTTTGCCGGATATCCAGCGCTGCATAAGACTCATGTATTCGTAGGCGGGCAGCTCCACGGGATCGTGGTCCTGGTCGAGCCAGATGTAGGAGAAGTTGCTTTTTTTGGGGCATGTCAGAGAGTGGTAGCATGATGCAGGACGGAATATTGAAAAGGGCGGGGTGAGAGAGAGGGAGAGCTTCTTATACAGGCACTGTCGCATACTTACTCTCCGGCCGACATCTTGGGACACGTAATCGCGTTGCAAATCGAGATGCCAGTATCTTCCTTGTCGTGAACTACGCGAACAAAGTTCCACAAGTTGCGATAGTGTTCAACCACTGCATTTCTTGCATGGTGAGTTTATGGTTTTTTTTGGGGTTTTTTTTGTTTCTTTTTTACTCCGTGGAGTCTGCCGACGTTTCTCGCTACAACATAATATTGTTTTTTTTTTCTTTCAGTTCCTACCTTGATGCGCGACCCATTCACCTGGATCAACAGTCTTCGGTCTCGCACTGAGGGTCATGAAATTGCCCTTGACAATGTGTCGTGCATATGTCGAGTTGAGCCACAATGGCAGAGGCCGAGGTATATCGATTGTCGGAGGCACGACGGGCATTGATGCTGGGGCCGCTGTTGCTGACGACGAAGAAGGCGGTTCCGGAAGCGAGATCCGAGGCGGTGGCGGCGGACGATGAGGAGGAGGAGGAGGGAAAGACACGAAACTCGAAGACGACGGCTGTAGAGGATCTGGAAACATGAATTGCTGATGCTGTGTCGCGGACACAGTCGCGGACTCAGCTGAAGAGCTCATTTCTTGCTCCGGGTGTCTGCTGATTGGGGGTGCTCTTGTGCAGGCATCGCTGCTGGATGTTACGGGTTGAGAAAGAGGAGGTTAGGATTTGCTTCAAAAGGGGAGGTGGAATTGTTGGTCATGGTATCAGGAATATGCATTATTTGGTACTCACAAAGCAGGCAAGGAATTGGTCATGACGGGCAATCGTGTCGTCTTTGATTGTATAAGAATATTTTGATAATTATGGTATTTTTTTCCCCCCCGCCGATGGAAAGAGGCATGTGGTCAGAAGGGATGAATTACCAACAAGGGATCAAGGGGAGGGGGGGGCGCGAAAAGGGGGGCGGTCACTAGCCCAGCTGGTCCTTCTTGGAGATCGCCATGTCAGACAGTAGATACCGGAGACTGGAGAGTTGGCTTCGACTAGCAAACGGCATGGGCTGGTCTGTTCCGTTTTCTTCACAGCAGCTGAGGCTGAGGGGTACGTAATTTTTTTAATTTTTTTTGGCTGGCGGGCTGGCCTTGTCGACGTTGACAAGCCAACCGATCCTGCGCGCGATCAGGCAAATCGTAGCGAAATTTGTCGAGGTTGAGTTTTTGTTTTGTTTTGTTTTGTTTTGGCAACGACGGCCGGGCACAAGCTGGCCTTGGATCGCCTGGACGTGCTCTCGGAAGTCTCACATGCAACTGTATATGTATGTACATATGTAGTTGCTGGGTCTAGCCACGATGCAATAAGAGAACAGAAGAGACGCATGTGCATGCGCATGTACATAACGTTGGCCCGGATGATGCAGGCGGTCTCATTGCTTCCTTCCATGCGCCACACTTGAAGCGTTTAGCCATCCGGAGATCGAGCTGGAGCTGAGCCACAGCTGCCTGCCAGTGCAGATACACAGTGCGCAAAAGGCGCCACGATGCTTTCCATTTTTTTGACATTAGCCATGAATGGACAACCATGAGTCCATCATGTCCATGATAAGTGCAATCATGTCTCGCAACCTTGCGATTCATGTCATGATCATGATTCACTGGCGCGCCGCATCAGCTGTGACGCTGGCAGAACATGATTGATCGGTCACTAAGGTTTTTTTTTTTTTCCCGCCAGGGAGTAGAGAGGGAGAACGGCTGGTTACGCGTGGCGAGGAGATGGATGCCTTTCGGATGAATCCTCGACCACCATTTTGACTTGAGATGTGAGTTGAACCTCACTCGACCATCAACGCTTGCCAAGGATGCCATCATCACTCCCTCCTCCCCCCTTCTGGGAATCCATCTGTCGTCTTCGCATCAGTGCACGCAGCTTTGCCCCTCATCCTAACAAAGTGTTGGCTAGACGAACAAAACGTCTTCCTGTCATCATTGCCAGAGAAACCGTGCGAGCCTAGACGTTTGATGGCACGCAAAACTATGGTCCAAACACCACTTGACCCGTCGACGCGCTGCATCATCACGGCTCCGAAACGAGACTGCGAGAAATGCGGCGTCTCGTGGCCTGCGCAGAAACTCTTCCACTGCAACAAATGCCGAGTCACAATCTGTCTTTTGTGTCAGTGTCAGTCGGGCAGTGGCTTCGACTCGCACGTGCAGGATTGCATGGCCTTGCCGCATAATTATCTCATTGGACTTTGCTCACCGTCGACTCGGTCCAAGAGGAAGAGGAGGAGTAGCAGCAGCAGCAGCAGCAGCAAAAGCAAAAGCAAAAGCAAAAGGAGTGCCTCAGAAGTCATCGTGTCGCCGCGTCGGGGTCTTTCTGCGCCCCAGACACGGCCGTTCACCAAGCTTCAGGCCCGGACCTGGCTTCATGGCCGTCCTGCTGAAGACGTATTCCGTCTTCTTATTGATTCGTACCGGCTTCACTCGTACGACATGTTTCGGTTTGAGGGGGAGAATAAGCTGAGCAGCATATTCGCTGGTGCGATAGACTCGTCTCTTGACTTTGTTGTGTACCTAACGGTTGCTGCAATGACGGAGGGGACGGAGGGGAATGGGCGGACGGGGACGCGGACGGGGACGCGGATGGAATCAGAGGAGGCGGAAACAGACAAGACAAGTCGCTCGCCGTCATTGCTGCCCCCGTGGTGGACGCGTGCTTCCCACCAAGAATGCATGCAACTAGGTCGTCGACAAGACGACGAGCAGTTCCACGACCTGCACATCCAGCTCAGCCAGGCCATGACGATAGACTACTACCAAGACGCGAGCTTCCCGACGCAGTTGCGCATCTTTGCCGAGCAGGTCCTAGGGCGTCCTGCCCTGATGCGCCGCTGCACTCCCCTTCTAGAGCAGCTAGTTCTGATGGAAGAAAAGAAGGAGTCGGGGGACACGGCTGGGTTCGATTGGAAGCAATTCAACAAGGCGTTTGCAGTACAGAATTGGCCAGGCCGGTCCGCCGACACGGCCTACTGGCAATGGAGCGTTCTCGGCCGCACGAGCGGATAGAAAAAATACGTCCACTTCTTCATCAATTCATCATATATATATAAACAGAGAGAGTTTTATATACAAGTTTATGTCATAAGGAGCGGCATGAGGGTGTGTACATCGTACTCGTGTTGTCACCAAAGTCACCAAAAATTTGAACCACCTGCCATCCTCTATCCTCTAGGTTCACCACAAAGAAAGAAAGGGAGGCCGCCAGAGGGGGAAAATCCATCATAATATGCATCAAAACGATATAATGTCACAATATTATTTTGTTTTACCCCGAAATTGGTCCAAGACATCACAAGTCCCATCGTTCCGGAACCATTAGTGCAAAGGGCAGGGGTTTTGGAACATGACGCCCAACGAGCCTTGTATCGACCCGTGTGCAAGCCACGGCAGGAGGGGGCGGAGGGCCTGGATCACGTTGGGCCTTGGACGTCGTCTGGACTCTTGCCACTCTTTTGTGGCTGTGAGAGTTGTGAGAAGTGAGGGGGCGAGGATGTGCTCGGATCGGCAGTATGGGGGGGGTTTCCTATTTTTATGGGGAAAAAAGGAGACGATAAATAAAATAATAATCAATAAAGTAAAAAACACCTTCCTCATGATAAGTTATGCTGCATCATAACGGATAAGCATGCGTGATGCGTTTGAAAGAAAAAATCGATTTATTGAGCATCGAGACTCGAGTTGTCACGCTGCCCCCCCCCCCCCCACCCGGCAAT